TGGAGTAACACAACTGTTTTTTTAGCCTACTTACGGATTCCAGTGCAAGTCAGGGAAGAATACTTATTTTTTTTTCGAGAATTTATTAAGACAAGGGGAAGAGGAATTTTAAGTTTTATGGGTTTTATGAAGAAGAATTTAATGGACTTGGTTTAAAGTACCTCCTTTTTTTTATATGGAATCCAGGTTTGGAGTAAATTTACCCACCTGCAACTAGTTCTTCACCAGAGGACCTTCCAGGGAAACCTACGGAAACCGGCAGGAAGAACTTAGTTTTATCTTTTTGTTTCTTGTTTAAATATCTTTAATAACATTACGTCCTCTTTAAGGTTTTAACTGTTATATCATTAATAATAATTACATTTATTTTTCCTAAAACAATAGTCAGTACAATTTATTTAAATTATTTATGGTCTACCAAGGGATGAGATTTTGACTCTCCCTTGAATCTCTCTTCATCAGGTTATCGTGTGCACACATATCCGGAGAGTTTCATTTCATTTCAAACTTAAACATTTATTAAACGAAAACTAAACTATTATATTAGTGAGTAGTATTTTATATTTATATTATCTTATATTTTATTTTATATTTATATATTATTGTATACCTAATAATTATTGAGTATATAACCTTTGTCAAAATTTAACATTAATAGGTATATTAGGGGGGAAATTGTTTTATAATTATATTCAGGGATTTTATTGTAAATATAGATAAGTTAATTGTACATAAGAGGTGGTGGGTCATAGATAAGCATTTAACATAGTCTGTACATAAGTTTTGGTAATTATTAAAGTTGTGGTTAAAAATTTAATATTTCAATTTAGTACCCAACTTTTATATTTCAGCAATACAAGATATCTCGGAAGAAAACATTTAACTTCCTGGCGCCCAAACATTCAGTAGAGCAACTTTATCTTTCATCTGTTTATTTCTTGGTAGTTTCTAGTCATTAATTCTTACATCTTACGGTCTCTGTAGGGCATGCAAATTGGCCGAATCCCTCTTTGAGTGTCAAGTGGTCATTCTCCTGCATAGTCGCTAGCCAGCATTAATTTTATTATATTTTAAAATTCATATTTACCCTTTATTTATTTCTTTTACATAATTTATTTCTATCTAATCCCTTCCATCTTCTGTTATTCCACATATTAGTTCGTTGGTGTATCAAGGTACATTTTAGAGTTTACCCTATTGCTACACTGCACATTTTTGCTACACATTCCTCATTTTTGTTACATTTCCCTACTCTCACATTTCCTGTTACATTGTTTCACCAGAAACAAATCACATTCTTGTTATATTGGCGACTCAGCCAATTCATTCTTGTTACATACTAAAAATACACGGAATTTTTTTGAATGGGTGTCTTACTTTTGATTATACCGACTCTAAGTAAAGAGGAAAGTTCAAAAGCTACTACTTTATTGCTAAGATGTTTTTTGTCTTATCTGTTGGTCATTTTTGGTGATTCTAAATCTCTTGAGATAACTATGGAGCTTGGTGGTTGATCTGTATTCCATCTGTTTAGGACTTTTTTTAGGTTATCTATTTGTGTTTGCTGTATTAATTTTTAGTGTTGGCGTAGCAATATCTCGCTATTTGGTGACAGCAGCTTAAAGATAATCATCCAAAAATATCTTAGAAATTAAACGGTTCTATTCTCGTAGCTTTAAATCCACTAAAATTATTTAATACAGTATCGATTTTTAAATCAGCTTTACCAAATAGTGAAGCACTATCACAAAAAGTAATAACTCATCCAGGGTTAATACCTAAATAGTCCTCGCATACTCTACTGTATATGGTTTTTAAGGGACCATATAATGCAAAATCAAGTGACTGTAAAACAGGGGTTTGGTTATTTGGTCTCACTTACTGAATAAAATGCTTCAGTAAATACAAACAAATTCGATAGTTGTGTGGTTTATAAAAGGTGGTTGCATTTTAACTCTGAAAAATATTAAAAAAGTTTTGTATCAAAACACAGTAAAATGAGAACTTTTTCAGCCGATGAGTCCTTTACCACCCAACGCTTTTATTAAGAAGGTATTGTTTTTGGAGTTTTCGTGGTTACTGTCGAAATACCTGTCCAAACATTTGACTCATCTAGATTAATCTTGCGACAGAGATAGCCTTAGGTCTGAGCGGCAAATTAAATTTGCGGATAAACTATCTAGAAAATATCTACACGCTCTTTTTTTACTGGTATTAAATCTGAGTGAATTTTTTTTTATTTTTGGCATAATCATATAAGTATTAATCTGTAAACTTCATCTTATGTCTGGCCAAATGCTCCTTTGTCTATGCTTACAATGTATTGATATAAGCTAGTTAGCTGTTCTTTAGAAAAAGTTGTTTTGAAGTGTACAGAGTTGGAAGGAAACATCTAAAATGTACATTTAAAAAAAGTATTTAAGTAAAGATTATGACAAGCCAAAAACGCAAAATAAAAATGCATCCATTGTGGTGAAAACCGTCCTGCCAACTACAGAGGAATAACAGTTAGTAAACAGTTTTGTCTATCGCGGATGTAATATAACTAACGATAGTAACTGTCAAACAGAAGTTCAGAGATGTATTGGTATAGCAAAAAATGCAACGAGTGGCCTAACTTAAGTATGGAAAGATATATCTCTCAAAATATCAGGATGAGACTGGTGAATGCCCTTGTATTCTCCGTATTTCTATACGGGGCAGAGACTTGGACTCTTCGCAGATGCGAGCGCCAGAAAATTAATGCCTTTGAGATGTGATTCTGCAGAAGAATGATGATGCGTATACTTTGGACAGCTTATAGGACAAACATTTCCATTTTTAACCAACTCAAGATTAAAAAAAGGCTGGCAACAATATGTCTGCAACGAATTCTGTAATTTTTTGGTCACAAGGTTCTCAGAGATGAAGATAGTTTGAAGAGGTTAATTGTTTCTGGAAACGTTCCAAAGATCAAGAGGACGATCACCAACTAGATGGTCAGACCAGATTAAGAATTTAGTCGGAAACTCATTTTGCGTAGCTCTCAGAGCAGCTGAAGATAGAGAACAATGGAGAAAAATTGTAAGAAATATTGGAAGAAATCACGATCTTCGGTAATGAGAAAACGACAAGAGCGAGAGAACTACAGAGGGTGTGTTATCTTAAAAGAGATGCAGAAAATAGAAAACACAAATGCAGAAAAGTTCAACTTACCCAATCTCACAGAAAAAAGAGTAACTAAAAATTAAGAAAATGCAATTGATTAGAAACAAATGAAAAGAGTTACTGTAAATAAGAAATATAGCGATGTAGTAAAAACCGATAATGCAAATCTACAAAAGTATCAGACCGGACTCTACATCTCATACTAGATGAACTAAAAAAAGTATATGAGAGAGTTATTCGCTTATGGGTGCTATTTTCAAAACCAGACATGGCTAGTGAACTCAAAATCATAGACTGGAATGCCAATGGATTGCTGCAACACTAAAAAGAGTTCTGCATTAAAAAAACTGCAGCGATTCTTTCCCAAGTTAACATGTTCCTTTTCTTACTTTGCAGCACCGTACTAAAGACGACCAGTAGTCAGAAATGTGTTTTATTATATTTCTTTATTTCGATACCTACTAAATTTATTTTCTTATTAAGTCACATTAACCTAAAACGTTCTAAACGTTAGGCATTTCTTTCCTCAGGTAGCTTAGCTTCCTCCGTGGATGTGTTAGTTGTTGGTCTGGAATCCTCAAAGTATTTTAACATTATTGCTGTCACATTGCTCCTGTAGTGATCATTTTCCAAAAATATTTCGTACATCTCTCTTTTTAATATAAGATTGACAATTCTGTTAGCTTTGATTCACTGTATATTTTTCTTTGTTTTGATTAGACTATGTGAAATTAATTTATTATAGGGGAGGTATATTATGTTTCTTAGTTGGTCACTGTCCAATTCCTTTACAAGATCAATGAAACATTGGGCAAGCTTGTATTCTATTAATTTTTTGTAATTTATCTTAGTATAAAAACCGCATCTGAGCAACATCTTTATGATCGAAATCCTTGTTGTTTTTCTTCTAGGGATAAAAGTTCATTAATCTTGTTTATTTTATTCTTTGTTGTAATGTTTTGTTAAGTAAATTTATTCCGATATAAATGGAGCGAAGAATCCTTTTTAAACATAAGTATTGTGATTCTAGTTCGCCATTCATTTGATATTTTTTATTGGTAGAAGATTTTCTAAATTAATTCTGTCTGTTGTTGTATTAAATTCTCTCTTCTATATTTTAACCTTTCATTCAGGTAAGTGATGGACTCGACCGTTGCTTAATGAAAATTCATTTTAAGTAACAATAAAACACTAAAAACTTTGTTCTCAAAACTTGCACAAACTTTATTATGAATCTTATCACTACAGCTGTTTCGGCGGAGTGCCTCACTGAAGTGATCTATTTTTGGTATGCGTTTACACTTTATAGTCTTTAACAAAATAGGTTGAAGTGAGCAGAACTGTTTGTCTCATGTTGGTCATTTAGAATTATGTCTGTATTTTTTAATTTGTTAATTTTCATAGATTCTAACAAAGATAGCTTAAGGCCTTTATTTTGAATGTGAAGAATTTGAAATTCGCCATTAAAATAATGATTATGATCTAGAAGGTGAAGTGCGTATATAGAATCCGTTTTTTCTATTATTAAAAGCCCTTTTATGTCCTGCTATTCGTTTGTTAAAATTTCTACCAGTTTGACCAATGTAAGTTTTTGGGCAGTCGCCACATTTAAGTTGACCTGCTTTAAAAAAATTAAAGATACCGTTATATCAAGGCTGTATGATTGCATCGCATTTTTAAATGGTTCAGGTAAGAATCGTGCTATGAAAACTTGGCAAACTACTTAGCAAAAGGCCCTTACGACTAAATAAATTATCTTTATATATAGGTAGCCGTTTGTAGGTTTGATCAAAATGGATTTAAGTGTTATTAAAAAATAATATTACTATTTAAAAATCAATGTATTTTATATATTTATATCTAATTATTTCACGTTACATCCAGAATATTTACATTATCTCTTAAGCAGGTATATATGTTGGTGTATCGATCTCAATAGTACCTGATCCTTGCCCGTTTACCTTACCACCCAAAGTTCCTTTGATAAATCCTATGTTAAATCTATATGGGTCAAGTTCCACTCCACCTTGACCTTGTCCATGAATCTTAATGTTTCTCTATAAACATAAAAACATATAATTAGATAATAAATATTACACTTTATACAAAAATTATATTATATTTAGTTTTTACAACTTTGCTTATGGCCGTAAGGACAAATTTAAAAAGAGGTATTTGTTACAGATCTTAAACAAATAGATCACAAAGATAAAGCGTTCAATGATAGATGTAACAGTAAAATACAATATCACAAACGAAGATCTACGAAAAAGAACCACATTTACAGGTGTTGTGGAAAGAGATTGCAGACTGAAATGGAAATGGACTGACCAAGTGGCAAGAACGAAGGATAGAAGATGGACACGCAAGTTAATCGACTGGAGACAAAAACAGATAAATTACATAGAAAAAGACCACCTATACGATGGCAAGATGATCTGCGAAAGTTGACAAAACATTGGATCCATATTGTACACGACCGAGCACTCTGGATAGAAACAGGAAAGGCTAATATCCTGCAGTGGACTTAATACAGGTTGATAATTATAATGACATATCTTGAATAAATTGTTCTCAATATCACATTAACTATCTAGTTGAATAGGTTTGACACCTGTCTTCATTTGTTTTTTTTTATTCATATTAATTTAAGTAAACTATAGAGTGAATTAGGTAAAATGAATTACGTACTTGATTATTTTAATGAAACACTTTTTATTGTTTTAATTTGTTAACATAATCGTAAAATTTTATTTAAGAAAGGCTTATTTTCGACGTTTCGATTTTCACGTTCGAATAATAAGAACGAAAACCGGATATATATATATATATATATATATATATATATATATATATAATATATATATATATATATATATATATATATATATATATATATATATAATATATATATATATATATATATATATATATATATATATATATATATATATATAAACACGGTATTTACGTGTTCCGGTAGGGATCTATGGAGGAGTATTACCGAGCCACAAGCCCTTATCTCTTGCCGTACTGCTCCAACATAGGCCGATCAGACACCAGTATATTCTAGTCTAAGCCACAGATTCATTTAGAATTTTAAACTGCTGCGTTAGCCTTTTTGTTTTCTGTACACCGAGCTGGGGATCGAACTCACATCACTCGCAGTAAAGCGAATGAGAAACCGGCCTCCCAGCCCAGACCGACGAAAACCGGATTCTGTTGGTAAAAAATTGAAATTCTCTTTGAAATCTCTTTTTAAAGAACTTTTTTAGAGGATTCTGAAAAATATACAATCTTTCTATATAAGAATATTGCTTTATTTCTATGTGATTCTAAAAACACATAAATTTTAGGTAGACGGATAGATAAGTTTATTGACAATTTTTACATAGTAAACACTACATGTCATGTCACAATATAAATAAGTCACTTATGTATACATAGGAAATAACTAAGAAATAATACAAGAACACCTTCAGAAAAAAACAATTCAGTTAGGTGTAATATAGTTTTCATAAAAATATACACACTAGGAGCTCAAACAAACAAATTCCTGTATACTATAGAAACAGTTTTCGAGCAGGAACTGTTTTGCTAATTTATAAAATTGTTTAGAATTCATTGCCTTAATATCAATATGTTTGTTTAGGTTTAAAAAACAATTATACAAATTATAATCAATTGTATTGCTTATAATAAGTTGTGTAACACAATAATTTTGATTGCTGCTTTTTGAAAAGTGAAAACTTTATATGTATAGGACGGGTTTCCGCAAAAAAGTATGCAATATGTCAGGATACTATAAACCATTCTAAAATAAACTGACCTAAGAATATCTCGACTCACAGAAGTAGTCAATCTGCTCATAGTAAAATTCTGTGAGGCGAGCTTCTCACACAATCCTTCAATATGATGAGACCAGTTCAACCTTGTATCCATAGTAACACCTAGTAACTTTACTGGTTCAAATGTTTTAACCTATCCATCAGAACTGAATACTATTGTCTGGGTTGTCTGCTCGTTTAACACATTGCGTGCCACGCTGTAATCGGGAAAATAGTGTCAGGGGCCAAAAGACTTTTTTGTAATATTTGTAGGTATTAACTAAAATGAAGATGTTTCTCACAGTTTTTTGTTTTATTTTTGTAGTTTTTAGTCATTGTTTATAGTATTTTTGTGTCTCTTATATATGAGCGACGTGGTCCTGTAGAAAAAAATTCATGATATGTAAGTTGCTGGCCACGTCTCACAAACATGATCGATGCATGTTTTTAAGGTTTTCCCTTTTGTTGCTGATTTTGCAATTGAAAATTGAATGAACCGAATAATAAAAAATGTCTAAACGTCGTCGAGGCTTGACAGAGGCCGAATTAGAGGAAGCATTAAATCACATCGATAGTGGTAACGAGAGTGATGAACAGTCTGACTTTGACTCCGACAATTCCATCAAAGATTAGGATTTTAGCCATGACACCGCTGCGTCAATGGATCGATTTGAGTCATCTGATGAAGATGACCAGAATGAAGAGAATGACCAAAATGAAGATGAAGATTTGCCAGCTTCCACTGATTGGCTCGAATATGTGAGACGACACAAGAACTTTCAATTTAGAGGTCCTTGTGGTCTGCAACCAGATTTGTCCCCTGAAATGACTCCGCTTCAGGCATTTTTCCATATCGTCGATAATTATGTCATAACCCTACTGTCATTGAAACGAAAAGATTCGCGCAACAAATCATGGAAACATAGGAAGCCAAAATATATTCTCGTATAAATAAATGGAAACTGACCAATCCAGATAAGATAAAAAAGTTCTTGGGTTTAATACTGTGGATGGGATTAATTCGACTAAGTGCATTACCCGATTATTGGGCGACCAAGGGTATTTATCGTCTAGATATTCCAAGAGCAATTATGTCCCAAAACAGATATCAGACAATTCAAAGAGGAGATCGCCTAGCAAAAATTAAACCTTTTATTGATATCCTTCAAAATAAATTTTAATCTCTATTTTATCCTGGCGAAGACATCGTAATAGATGAAACTTTAGTACCATGGAGGGGGCGCCTAATTTTAAGGCAATATATACGAAACAAGGCCGACTAATATGGTATCAAATTATTTATACTGTGTTCAATCGATGGTTACACATGGGCACTTGAAGTATACGCAGGAAAATCAGCGACAGGGCAACGCGAAGTTGGACTTGCAACCAATGTGTGTTTGAGATTGTGTAAGAAGCTTCTCTATCAAGGACGCACTCTATATATAGATAATTTTTACACGAGCTACGAGTTAGTTAAAACAATGCTTGAAAAGCTAACACATGTTGTTGGAACCGTGAGAGCCAATAAGAAAAATATCCAAACAGATGTCCTTCAAGCCAAGATAAAAAGGTGAGAGATGGTATCTCGCCAAGACAAAAACCTGTATGCACCAATTATGGTACCAAATCATCCAAGGATTGCTGAGAATAAACCCCCTATTAAGATACAGAAATCCAACGACTCTTAAAATCCATCAGATGCCATAGCCAGTATACCTCCAGTACTACCAATGTTTGTGCATTAAGAAGTAGTAGCGATTTGCCTTATTGCCAAATGGAATCTAAAAGTTCTGATCCCCCGGACGCTTCCAATGACATACAGAAGGCAGTTCCAGTAAAAATAAAGAAAAAGTCCCGAAAACCAGAAAAAAACCAGTTGAGATTCTGGCGTACAATAAAGGCAAAGCTGGAATTGATTTGTCAGACCAGATGGCATCTTATGCCACTACGCTCCGAAATGGTATCAAATGGTATGAAAAGTTAGGAATAAAATTTCTTTTGGGAGTATTAATAGTAAATGCATGGGTTCTGCATAAACGAGTAACCAAAAAGAAAATCCAAATTCGTATTTTTCGTGACATATGAATATCACCATTTACTAGTGGGAGTCGGGGAAAATGAAAAGAAAATCCGTCGCAGGTGTTCGTTGTGCTATGCAAAGATTCAGAAAGAATCAGGACGTATAGTTGCAAAATCTAAAGCCAAATTAACATACAATTATTGCGACAAGTGCCCGGGACAACCGCAAATGTTTTCATTGTTTTATTGAAAAACAATAATTTTGCAAGTTTTTAAATTTTTTTCCTTTGTATTAAAGTTATTGTTAAGTGTAGTTAGTTGATTTTTGCTTCGTTTGGTTAAGTTCTAAAAATACATTTGTTCAGAATGAGTTTTGTGATAATATTTCGTATAATAAATATTTTTTAAACTTTTTGTTTTGTTAAATATATGTTTCCAATTTTGCTCAAACCAAGATACATACTACTTTGCCCAGAGGCCACGCTCACGAGTCCCCATTAGAAAGACACGGTACCGGGTTTCATATTTGATATACACTATTGATCGATGCGTGTCTCTCAAAAATAAGCGACGTGGCCCTCTGAGAAATGTTGGTGTCTCTCATATATGAGAGACGTGGCACGCAATGTGTTAACTTAAGTTTGTTGCAGTTAAACCAGGATTTAGATTTTTCTAATATTTCCTGACTGCAGTTAGTTTTACCGCTAAATAATAAGGCTGTGTCATCTGCAAAAAGAACACAGTTGGTGTTATCCAACACACTCGGTAAATCATTTATGTATATCAAGAATAGCAGAGGTCCCAAAACTGATCCTTGATGTACTTTGGTTGAAACGGGTTGAAACTATATATTCACACAAAATAAAACAATGAGTGTTTTCTTACTTTGGCATTTTAAAGGCATATTCGAGGATCATTATAAATAATTTAGGTAAGAGAGTGTCGCCTTGTCTCACACCTTGCTTTATATAAATTTCTCTGGTGGTATCATGTAGTTTTACACGCTGTGTGGCGTTTTGGTACAATGTTTGTACTAACTTTGTAAGCCGGTAGTCTATTCTACCATTGTTTAAAGTGTTTGTAATGCTGTCTAATTCCACGGTATCAAAGGCTTTGAGAAAGTCTAAGACGATAAGTACCAGTAATGTGTTACATTCTATTGATTTTTCTATTAAGGTTTTTACTGTTTGTAGGTGATTGTTTGTTCCGAATTTTGAGCGGCAGCCAGCTTGTTCTCGAGGCTGGTAGAAATCCAACTTTATTTCTACTCTTGTTTTAAGACAAGATGCGCTTTTTAGGTGCCTTGTCTACTTTCTTGTGTAGTAAAATTGTTCCATATTTCCGAAAAGCAACAATCTGTTAGACAAAGGTTAAACAAAATTTTTATTTAGTTTAGAAGGGCACATCCGCTTATCTTTATTGCTTATATTACGACTATATCTTCTCCTGGTGCTTTGTTGTTTTTCATCTTTTTCGTTGAGTCTTGGATTTCGCTTAGGGTGATCTCTGGCATGAGCTCTGAACCCTGGTTGATGATTTTGCGCGATGCGGCGGCTCTTAAGTTCGTTTGGTCTTCTCTTTGACTTGTGTATAGCTCTTGATAGAAGTCTTCAACTATGTGTAGTAGTTCTTCTCTATTTGATAGTCCTTATCTGTTCTTTAGTTTGTGTATTTTACATTTTTCATTGTTTAGCCATCGTCTCAGGACATTCAGATTTTTATTCTCTTCTATAAATGGGTGAACCTTTTTATTCATAAATTTTCTTAAATCTTTCCTTATAGCTTTTAATACTATATATACTTTCTAAACCTCTATAATATTTATATATTATATTAGATTTTAACAATTTTACCCTTATTTATATTTTCTTGGTGACTTGATCTTTTTTTTTGTATTTGTAGTTCTTCTTTTGTTATGTTATTATTTATATACATTTTTTAGTTTTTATATCTTTTAGTTTAACTTTATTTCGCAGAGCCTTGTCTTTTTTAACCTTGTGCTGTAGTTTGACTAAGCATGTTTTTTTTCTCAGTTTAATTGTTTCTTTGATTTGAACATTGATGTTCATTTCTTTTTCCATGAAATTAATACTTAGCTTGTATTAATACATTTCCATAAATTGTATCTTTTAGCAAACTTTATGACTCAGTAAACTGAGTCATTATGACTGAGTAAATTTCCGCTGTATGTAAATAGGTGATTGTAGTTTCAATCAAAAAACGATGTAAGTGTTATTAAAAAATAATAATATTACTAGTTAATTATCAATGTATTTTATATATTTATGTCGAATTTTTGCACGTTACATCCAGAATATTTATATTATCTATTGAGCAAGTTTATAGGCTATTGGTGTATCTATCTCAAGAAAACCTTTGCCTTCTCCTTGTACCTGTCCACCCAAAGTTCCTTTGATAAATCCTAGATTAAATCTGGTGGGATCAACTTCCACTCCACCTTGACCTTGTCCAGTTAACCTAATGTTTCTCTATAAACATGAAAATATATATAATTAGATAATAAATATTAAACTTTATATAAACATTATATTACAATTTAGATCTTACAAGTTTGTTTATTTTAATTTAGAAATAGGTATTTGTGAAGGATTTCTATTTTTTATAGATCTTAAACAATTTGTACTGCATATCACGTTATTACTAGTATCTGGCCGAATAGGTTTGATGCCTGACTTCATTTATTTTTCATTCACGTGCATTTTAGTAAACTGCGTAGTCTATTACTTGACTATTACCTATAATTAAATAGTTTTCTATGTATGCTTTAATTTCTAACATAATCGTTAAATTTATTTATTTGAAGATGAAAAAACCATATTCTGTTGACAAAGAAATAACTTTTTTCTTAAAACCTCTTTTTAGAGAACTTGAATTATTTCAATTTCTTAACTCAACTCATTAATTCAAATATTTTTTTACTTCTACAGCATTTTAAAAACACATAAATTTTATCCAAAATATTAAACAATTTCAAGAGTTTAACGAAGATGATACTGATAGACACCTGCAATTTTGCGAACATTTTTCTCAATAACTAAACTATTACACACATTTGCATTACAATGTCTGTTTTTCGGACGAGTGCATCTTTATATAAATGTCAAAGTAAACACTGATAACTGTCGTTGTTAGGGCAATACCATGCCACATTGAATTCGAGAAACTCATACTCAATACCGTCAAACACCCAACATACGAACTTGAATTTTGAGGGACCATAGTATGACAACGGAAATTTAAGAACACAACCATATCCTTTAAGAGAATCAGATAATGTTTTAGCAACATGGTGCAATGCCTTATTATGCTGTTCAGTCTTCTTTTGTTATTGTTTCTGCTTATTTCTAGTCCTATATCCCCTCATTTTGTGCACTTTCGTTTTGTTATTTCATCCCTAATAATTTTAAAAAGCAACGAACTCAGTGAGTCATTCTAATGAATATCATTCCCAGTTAGTAAGCTAGTATTGGATTGGTAAGTTCTCCGTTCATTTTAGGTTTGATTCTCTTTATGTATATATATTTCTTAGTTGTACTTAGATTATGTGGAATTGGTATCTGTACAAGACCTCCATGATCGAAACCCTTGTTGTTCAACTTCTAGGGATATAAGGCCTTCAATCTGGTGTGTTTTTGTTTACTAAATGTATTTCTATATAGATCTTCCCTTTTAAACATGAGTATGGTGGTGCTAGAATTCTATAAGGAAAAGTAGAAGGAAAACGATGACCAGGAATGCGAAGGATTTCCTGGCTAAAAAATCTACGTACGTAGTTTAACAAAATAACCACAAATCTTTTCGAAACAGTATCAAAATACAGATTGCCATGATAGTCGCCAAAATCCGAAACGTATATGCACTACAAGAAAAATAAGGTGCTAGTTCGCCTTTCATTTGAGATGCCGCTGTTAGAGGATTTTCTAAATTAATTGTGTCAGTTATTGTATTAAATTCTCTCCTCTATATTTTAACAATTTATTTGAGATTTCTTTGTATGTAGGGCTTTTTATACTCTTTTATTTCTGGAGGTCTGATTGCACGCCCTGAAGTTTGATTACAGCTACCTTACTATCTAAGATATATAATTGTATCGTATCTAGCAGATTTTTATGTGATTCAGGTAACAATTATGCTCGTGAAAATTCTTTTGGCCATTATGACAGTACATTTGCGCTGTAAATAGGTAGGTGATTATAGTTGCGATCACAAAAGGAGTTAAGTGATATTAAAAAAAAATATTACTATTTCATATTCAATGTATTTTTTACATTTATGTCGAAATTTTGCACGTTACATCCAAAATATTTATATTATCAATAAGGCAAATATGCTATTGGCGTATTGATATCAACAAAACCTTGTCCTTGTCCTTGTACCTGACCACCCAAAGTTCCTTTGATAAATCCTAGATTAAATCTGTATGGGTCAACTTGTACTCCAGCTTGACCTTGTCCAAAGATCTTAACGTTTCTCTATAAACATGAAAATATATAATTAGATAATTTTGTTTGCTAAAAATGGGATAGTTCCGGGAGTTGGCTATATACCATATTAGTTAAAAACTTGTTGTAAGTTGTATATTATTTATTTAAAAAAATTAATTAAAGATCCAAATGGATTATATTAAAGTTTAAGACGTCATCATTTTTATCAGACCTAACACTACGTCCCTACTCGAATTAATATTTTTTCAACCACACAGTTATGCAAGAGTTTGCCTACTAAATTTTAGATGACGGAGATTTAAAAATATTATAAACGTTTCAGCAAGTTACATCAAAACCAACAGCATATCTAGACCAAACAAACTTAAGCCAAAAAAACAGTATCAACTGTCAAGAAAGAACAACATTTCCAACTCATAGCATAAAAAAAGTAGTCAAAATGTCCAAACATTTATAATTTATACAAGGTAAAAAGAGAGTTACCATTTGGACCACTATTGGATCACCGGTACAAGCACTGGTAGAATTTCTAGCTGACCAGCTTTAACCATACGCAGAGAAAGCGGGCTCTTACGTTAAGAACGCAAGTCATTTTTTCGAACACATAAAGGACGTTACTATCGTGTCTGGAGACTTGTTCGTTTGCTTTCATGCACTTTCATTATTTAAAAATGTTTCTGTAGAAAAATCATTAAATATTATCTGTATCCAATAAATATCCAATACCACAGAATATACTAAACACGAGAAGACATTGCTTGAATAACATCTATTTTATCTACAAGGACAAGAGTTACAATATACAAGTCGAGGAAGCAACGATATGTTCACTGTTGTCATTCGTAATAAATATTTTTATGAAAGATATAAAAACAACAAGAATACAAATAGCAGAACATTAACCAAAACAGTGGCCTAGGTACGTTGACATTTTGTATATATACACACGGAGAAAAAATCCACACACATTTCTGGAACACTTTAACAATATCCATCCCAAAATACAGTTTATCACGGAACGGGAAAATAACCAACAATTTCCATTCTTAGAGTTGTTGGTTATAAAGAACGGAAATGGAAGCCTAGGATATACAGTATACCGGAAACCAATCCACAATGACAGATATTTACACGCTGATTCAAACAATTATCCTTAATAAATAAATTTGGTAATACAAAACCGGAATCCCAAAAAACTGACAGACAAAGATCATAAGAATAAGGAACTACACAAAGTTAAAACATCTTTAACAAAAAGTCCACAATTAAAAAAGCACAGAAATTCCCAAATAAAATCAAAGATCCGGTAAAAGAAAACAAACCAATTGGAAAAACAATATTGGATAGAATCAGGAGAATTCTATGAAAAAAAGGGACTATATTTAACACCGACAGAAAAATCTCAACTGTATAACCATCAGCAAAAATAAAAATTGCATTTAAAAATCAAGGAATATCCAGGGTCCCTTGTAACTGTGACAAATCATATATAGGACAAACCAATCTAAGAATACAGGTTAGACAGGAAGAACATCGAAATGCCATCGAAAGAAAAAAAAAACATATTATCAATAGCACATGTCATAAACAAAGGACATAAAATAAACTTAAATAAAACAATGATGCAAGCTAACATTAAAAATAGGACCAAACGTGGAATGAGTAAAGCAATAAAAAAACATCAAAAGACTTTCAACTGCTTAAAAAACAATTATACTCGAACACGTAAAAATTAAATTGGCGAATAAGATCCCGCCCAATCGCATGCGCACAGGACCGACCACATGAAGCGTAGCACACAGCAGCTGAGAATGTTCTCCTCGAAGATCATGAAGAAGCAGAACTAATATGAACTGAAAAATTGTGATATACAGCACACCTTCTATCCTCTACTGTATTTTCTTACCCTTAAGGTATTAACATGGGTGATGTTTTGCAATAGAACCGTAAAATACAAAAATGTTGAATAAATTTTTAAGCAGCGTAAAGACTAGTCTATACTAAAAAAACAAATCTCCAGTTCTTTGATCATGCTATCTTAAGAACGACTTTACAAATTTTATTTACCTTTTTTTTTAATTTTTTAATAATTCAACTGCGAAGGTCCTTATGGAAAGAACATTTTACAGAAAAAAAATTAAAAATCTTAACTATTTTTTAATTTCGCGCGAAGGGACAGGTTCCTTCAAACAATTTTCAAAAAATTGAAATTTTTTTTTAAACTGCTAAAAAACGCTTTTAGGAATAGTAAAGAATTGGTTCCAAAGGTCCGAGGCGACTTTAAAATAGGTAGAGAAGAGAGAAGAGCGGGATTTGAGCGGTTAATTTGGCCATTCAAGCAAGCAAAGTGACTGCAACTGTTTACTTAAAAGAGCTTTTCTCCAAATCACGCCTTTTTAACTAAATGTCACGCCAATTTCAAAATGTTGCACTTATAAAGATAAACTGAACGGCATTTTACTTTTAAGTTGTCTCTCTACGGTCGGTAAAACAACCCAAAATCTCAATTTGTATTTAAAAAAAGTTATAAACAATTAACAGTGCAAAAAAGAGATCGAAAAATTGAAAAGTCCCATTTAGTTTTTTTTTTGGTGAACCGACCGTAGCCTATTCAATACAGAATTGAGACATGAAACCATTTTGTCTTTTGGTTTCGGATAATTCGTTTCCAAGAAATGATAACACCAACCAACAAACTATACGAGTTTGTGGAGCCATTTTCAGTGCAGCCATTTAAAAAGAAAATTAAATTAGTTTAATGTATGTACTTTCATTGGTAAGAAGTTTGTGGTCAAATATCCTTTGTACTATAAATTAAATTTGTTTTAAAAAACAGAATTTTTGGAGGAAAATGGCCTTCAGTTTTACGTCAGCGTTTTACACGATAATGTCAGTGATGTTTTTTGCGAAGAATTATAATTTTTTTTGTAATTTTTTTTGACTTATATAAGCAATTTTAACCAAAATTACTGAATTAAGGAAAATATAATATTTTTGTTTTCAGTTTCGATCGTTCAGAATGAGTTCAAGTATTGCAATGATTAAAGAGTATTGCAATTTGACATAAAATGCTAACATTAACGTATGTTTGTGTTTTTGTTGGTTGTTTTGTTTATCTGAAATTATTGATATAATGGATATTAAAAAACGAACAGAGTGTATAGAGAAATCGTGAAATCCTATTTGAAAAATGTATTAACAAGGATTATAAAAATCATTAGAGAATGGGAAAATCATATGCAGAACATATTGTAAATGTGATGACAGAGGATATTTAATACAAGCAGGTGATTTTCAGAATATATTATTATTATTTATTATGAAAAAGACAGCAAAGATTTGATTTCGCGTACAAACGTCTATGTATCTGTTGATACGTATTTCGACCTAATCGGTCTCATCAGAATAGTTATTCATAGGCGTTCTCAACGTGAAAAATCAATATTTTCTGTCTTTTAAGAAGCAACACCAAAATGGCTTCGATATGGACGCAATAGCGACATCTGATAATAAATCCGTAAAATAGTTTCGAAACACAATTCAAATTTCTGCTTTTAATCTGAACCTTCTAACAATTTTTTTGAATGAGTACAAGAAACCAATTCGTTAAGGATTTCTGCTTAGTTGAAGAGACATGTCGTTGAATGCAAATTTTAGATTCCCCATGTCTCTTTTAACACCTTTATCAACGTCTGTTATAACTTGCAAATTTTTAGAAGGTTCAGATTAAAAGCAGAAACCTGAATTGTGTTCCAAAACTATTTTACGGATTTATTATTTATTAGTTTATACATTAGTTTACGAATTCGAATTAGTGTAGTATATAGTTATAATACAGTCATATTATTGTTTTTTTTTAGGAATGGGGCACCCAATCCAAGGAAATGGTTTTAGTGACATTTAGATTTTAACTAACAACTTGTTTTTAAACGTATCTGGCGATTTGCATCGGATTACTGAGAGCAGTGTTTGCAGGGGAGTACATAAAGTGTATCATGCAACTGGAATATGTGCCAAAGATTTTATATAAATTTTACAATATATACAATTATACAATTATCTGAGGAATCTTCCGGCAAACGAAAACCGCAGATTTTTCAGATAATTTTAAGACGATTTAATACAATTCATCTAGTCTGAAAATGCTTCTCAAGGGAGCTAGAGCTCTTTGAAAATGGGGACTTGTAAGTAGTCTTTTTTAATAACTCCAGAACGCTTCTCCAGAGTTGAATCCATTCCATTAATTGCTAATTTCTAGTACCGTTCATAGGCGTCCGTTTTGGGTAGGTCAATATGCATTTTAACGCATAACTTTTTAGTGAATTCTCCTTTAGTGACAATTATTCGCTTTTATATGTAATATTGCTTTTGACAATGGTATCATAGATTCTATTTTTAATGCCTCTCGGAATTGTTGTATGCCCCAATATGCTGTTCAATGGCCAAATAACTTCCCTGGTTATTTCTGTGTTTAATCCCTTCATACAAATTGCCGTCATTATTTAGTGTATACCCAGATATTTATAAATTATACATTGATTTATTAGTTGATGTTGTTCTTTTGTTATTCTCTTCTATTACACAAACATTCTGTTTTTCGACATTTACTTTTAATCTCATTTCTGATATGCCTTAATAAGTTTAAGTGTTATATATTCCAAATCTTCAGAGTCCTACTATTTACAGAGTCCACTATTTAATCGTCTGCAAAGCATAGTGGTCGTTTGGAGGGATTCTAATACCACTACGTTTTCTTTTCTACGTCTTCAGTATTTGCTCTAAGTAGACATTAAACAACGTCGGATACAGACAGCACCCTTGTTTGAGCCCTTTGTCTAACACAAACCCTTAATCTGGATATCTGGATATCTCTTAATCTATTATTATTTTGGTCGTGTTGTTTTTATAGAGTTTTTAAACTGCCTTGATTACAAGTCTGTTGCTGTTAGTTTTTTCTAAAGCTTTTCATACTTTTTATCGTTGTACATTGTCATATGTTCTTCAAAGATCTACATATAGCAGGTGTA